TTTCTTTCAGCCCTATATTTGTATTTATTATTATTAATACCTGGTCATTTTACAAATAATGTAACATAAAAGAAAAAAATCCTAAATTGGGAGCCATAAACCTCAAGACTCCACCTGCCACTAACAGTGTGACTTCAGGAATACTATGTAATCTCAGTGGGCCTAACTTCCTCAACTGTTAAACAAGTTCTCTTTCCTGCTCATTAATTCTTATACCAGGCTATCTTTGTTGTAAAGTTTATACCAGGGGTGTCCAATCTTTTGGCTTCCCTGGGCCACATTAGAAGAAGGCTTATCTTGGGACACACATCAAATACACTTACACTAAAAATAGTTGAAAAAAAAAAAAAAAAAAAAAAAAACTCATAATGTTTTAAGAAAGTTTACGAATTTATGTTGGGCCACATTTATAGCTGTCCTAGGCTGCATGTGGCCTGCAGGCGATGGGTTGGACAAGCTTGGTTTATACAATATTTTTTAAAATTTAATGAACAGTAAAATAAAAGAGCAAAGAAAAAAAAGTTTTTAAACAGGGTCTCACTCTGTCACCCATGCTAATCACTTCTCTGCCTTTTGGCTAAGATCAAGTGTAGTATCTGTCACCCATGCTAGAGTGCACTGGTGCAATTACAACTCATTGTAGCTTCAACCTCCTGGATACATGATCCTCCCACCTCAGCCTCCCGAGTAGCTGGGACCACCAGTATGTGCCACCACAACTGGCTAATTTTTTTTTCCTGTAGAGATGGGGGTCTCACTATGTTACCAAGGCTGGTCTGGAACTACTGGGTTCAAGCAGTCCTCCCACTTCAACCCCACAAAGTGTTGGGATTATAGGAGTCAGTGTCCATGCCTGGCAAAAAAACAATTTTTAAAGAACAGTTTATATCAGAAGAATTTGTATTCTAACTACTCAATAATTTGGTTCTATATAATTTTACAACAAAAAAGTAAAAATGAAAATGCCCTAAGAGGAAAGAAAGTGTCCACAAATTTTAAATTCCCATGTAAGTTATGGCACATCCACAAAATAAAATATGATGTCACAGTACAAAACTCTTTTAAGAGTTTTGAAAGACATGGAAAATGCTTTTAATGTTAAGCACATAAAAAGGAACTTTAATTAAAATGTCTCCACCTAAACTTCACTGGGTCCATATGCATTCGCAAGTTATCTAATTTTCTAACATCTGGCTGCCTCCTTTCCCGCTGCTCATCTTTCTCCAAGTTCTGGATTAATCAAATTTAAGTATCTTAAGTATAATAATTCCTTTTGCATTTAGGAAGCTTGCCAGCTACCAAAATATACAGACACCATTAAAAGATGAAGGTCAACAGTGACAGTATCTCATAAAGAAACTGTAACCACTACTCCAGAAAAGCATGATGTAGTTTTCCTGTGGGAATTCAACAAAGCAAATAAGACTGAGATGAAATTTGCTTAAGAACGAATCTTAAATTGAGACAAGCAACAATAATGCATCTGCTATCAACCATGTGCCGTTAAAAACGATCTCTTCTGAAAGTACTTAGCCTTTAAATGAGAAAAACAAATTATAGAGAAAGAAGAGTTGTAGAGTTTTAATGCAAACTTATGAGAGAACTGTAAAATCAAGTGCAGGAAAGGTAAACGAAGAATGTCAGCTCAGAGCATCAGAGTACTTATAATAAAAACAAATCTCTACAAAGCTGGATTGTTGTTTGTTACAAGTACTTGCAGAGGATTTTTGCTTGTATATTTTAATCACTTTTCCAAAGAATCCCCTCATACGAAAAACAGCAACGAGCTAATCTTTCAGAAAGGCTCCAAGAGTTTACTTCACCCATGAGTGTGTTCAACATTAACATACCCTTCCTTGTGATTCTATCTGTATTTTCTTTCTATGTAACTGACTGTCATCATCAATATGGCCTTTGCTTAAGAACTGTTTCTATTTACGTGAAAAAAAAATATTTGTCTCTCAATAAAGAACTCTGTATTACAACATGAATTTCTATTTTTATTTTTTAGAGACAGAGTCTTGCTGTCTCTGTCCAGGCTGGAATACAGTGATGTGATGATGGCTCACAGCAGCCTCAACCTCCTGCGCTCAAGTAATCCTCCCACCTCAGCCTTCCTAGTGGTTGGGACTATAGTTGTGCTCCACCACACCTGGCTAATTAAAAAAAAATTTTTTTTTGTAGACGTGGGATCTGGCTATATTGCCCAGTCTAGCCTTCATGCTATCCTCCCACCTTGGCGTCCCAAAGCATAAACCACTGTACCTGGCCACAACACGAATTTTTGGAATCACTTCAATAACTGGTAACGTAACTAATATTCAGTGTGTCACTTAAATGTTCTGTGCATTTTTCTAAGCAACAAAAGCTTGCCTTTTCCCACAGAAATATATTAATAATCAAAAATGCCTTATAGTTTAAACTTAGAATAATCCATATTATAACTGATAATATTAAAAATGCCATTACTATACCCTTAAAGTTCTTAATATTTTTGGCAGAGAAATAGGTTTCTTAGTAACTCACATGAAAATCAATTAGCACATCACTGAACACATAACTGATAACCCAGCGAATACACATATATACACATTAGAGTGTTTTAAAAATATAGAAGTTCATAGATACAGCTAACTAAATAGAAATTCCAGATAGGAGAATAGTGTTTGATGTTCTGTCACTACCAAATGTTGTTTACTTTGAATGTTTAGCAATATCTTTGAAATATAAAAGTACTAATTAGAGTGATGTTGATAGCCAATGTATATTGTACTTACTATGTGTGCTAACTGCTTGTAGATACAAAACCCTATAAATTAAGAAATACGTTATAGATGAGAATTGCAACTAAGAGATATTCTGTAGCTTTTCTCAACTCCAAAAGTGTGATTTCAATGCAGGTTTTTCAGAGTCCAGAATATATGCCCATAATCATATGCTATGCTGACTCCAACAGCAGCACCTGGAAACTTTGAGAAAATTGGTCTTGAAATTGATACCCAGTCAAAACACTTTTTAAAAAATCTTGTTTTGGCCAGGCGCAGTGGCTCATGCCTGTAATCCCAGCACTTTGGGAGGCCGAGGTGGGCAGATCACAAGGTCAGGAGATCGAGATCATCCTGGCCCAACATGGTGAAACCCCATCTCTACCACAACACAAAAAATTAGCCAGGTGTGGTGGGGTGTGCCTGTAGTCCCACTATTCAGGAGGCTGAGGCAGGGGAATCACTTGAATCTGGGAGGCGGAGATTGCAGTGAGCCAAGATCATGCCACTGCACTCCAGTCTGGCAACAAAGTGAGACTCTGTCTTAAAAAAAAAAAAAAAAAATTGTCTCAAAAATGTTCTTGTTAGGTTTTCAAAAAAACCAAGAAGCCCCATTCCTGACTAACCCAAATAAAATGTTCATATCATAGTAAACAATGCCGGTAATCCTAACAAAACCTACTAACACAGGATTTGCTGTGTTTGTTCCTGTCCCACATATGAACTATAAATTAGCATTTAGGTCCCATAGTCAGTTACAGATGGAAATGTAACTTTACAGTGAAAGATCAGGCTGATATCACTTAAGCCAGTGCTCAATGTCAGCCTCATCTGTGGGGAAAACCAGAGTTTTTCGTGATTCCTGGTGAGATGCAAGATGAGAACATATCACCTGTGATGATTTCCAGACAAAATGTTTGCTTCGTTCTAATCATGCCTTTAAACCAAAACTCTAATTTTATGAATTACAAGAACCAGAGTAGTAAACTAAATGACACCAGGAAGAAAAAATGAGACAAATTCAGAAGATGGGACATTTTCCAAAACAACTGGCCTAGTGTCTTCAACAAGACAGTGTTAGGGAAAAACAAAACAAAACAATAAAACAAACAAAAAAAAAACATTAAAAAAAATCCAGGCCTTTCTAAAGTAAAAGAGACTTAAGAACATAACATCCAGATTGCTCCTGGACTAAATTCTCCTTCAGAAGGACACTGTAGGGGTAACTCTGAAAATTTGAATAAGATGAAGTATTAGACAATATTAAGAATGACTACCAATGATTAGTTGTGATAATGATAATTTGACTACATAGAACAATGTTCTCATTTGCAAGAGGTGCGTGCTGAAGTGTTCATAGACAAAGTGTTAAAATGTCTATATTTTACTTTAAAATACTTCAATATAACATAGAATTTTGGAAAAAAGAGCCAATTATTTAAAAATACAAAAAAAATTGAAGCATAAAAATGGTTCAAGGTTCAATACTCATGCTCCAGTCAAGGATTATAGTTAACTGGACACATGGACAGGGAAGAACAGGCCTCCCCATCACTGGCTCCTCAGTGCTAAATGAAATATTTTTAAAATCTGAAGAAAATTATTAAATTTTAAAAGATCCCCCAATATAATTTTAGAGAAACTTTTAGCCTTGTTATATACCAATGTTCAGAATCACTAAAGAGAGGGATTAGGAGGTCTAATATTATAATATTCCAGAATAATCCCAACTGAGGCAACCTGGAATGTCAATTTTCAGACTGCTGTTTCATGACATAGGCTTCCTTTCCAACCCTACAGGGAAAATATTTCCTTTGTACATCAATAAACATCCTTTGTTCTACGCACATACCTAACAAGGAAGTGAAGTTCAAAAGTTTAGACAATATTTCAGGACTACAAGTTAAACTGAGTTACTAGTGTTTCATCATATGGAATTTGATTAAGTTGACAGTGCTGGTTACTACCTAAGAGTAACATAGACTACTAATGAGAAGCAGTAAAAGCTTAGATTCTTTGTGACATAAAATCAGCCTCATTCAGATACAAGCAGGTTAAACCTACAGAGTACATGTAGCTACTCTTAAGGAAGCCTATAGCCCTACTACAAAGATCAAAAGGTAGCTTTTTCTATTTGTTGAAGGAAATGTGCAATTTAAACAAACAGCACCTGCTTTTGGGTATGGAAATAATATATTCAAAAGTTTAACCAAAACAAGAGCAATAAAAACAAACCTGAGGCCCAGCTGCCTGCAGATCACTTCCGCATCGGCATCATCCCATTGGTCATCACAGACGGTTCCCCACTGGCCAGCATGGTAGAGCTCCACCCGGCCTTCATGCACACTGCTGCCCCCAGCAAGGCGAATGATGGGGAATGCTGGGCCTGTGCAATGTGAAATTAAAAACAAGCAAAATCTATGCATTTACACCGATTGATAAGATTAGGTATAATCTATATTTTTTGCCATTCTCAATAATTAAATATTTATTATACCACACCGGTGATATGGACATACATATGTATATCTAATATATCACGGTAATCTTGGCCAATTAAAATGTACCAAATTGAATTACATGAATACAAGTAACTCAGGAGGAAATGGTTTGAATTCACTTTTACCCAATAACCACAGAAACCAGAAAATGCACACTCAAAATCTGCAGATTACTGGAAACATGTTTGATTTTTATGGCATTAGAGTGGTGGCATTGATTTTTTTATTTACAGTAACTTGAGCATTACCAATATGTCATTAAAAATGACACATGTTTATAACATACTTGTTTTCAGTATACAATTATTTATGTATTTGTAGAAATCAACACAAAGTTAATATCTAACTCATTATAACAAGTTGCTGGACATCATGGCCAGTACCTCAACAGAACAACATTGAAACTATTTGGGCATGAATGAGTTCATATCCATTTTCTCTGATAAGGACCATCAACTGTGATTATATTCTTATAACCTGCAATGCCCTGATCTAGCCCTTGTCAGACTATGAACTTTTCTGTCTCTTCTCTGCCTTGGCTAAGACAGCACACTAAGGGACTTCCTATTACTCTGCCTAATTCTGCTTTCCTGAGAGTATTTACTTAAATCTAAAATTGTCACTGATTTACTGTTTACATGGCAATTGTCTCTCTCCTCTTGGCTAGAATGAGGACAGAGACACCGTATTCCTTTTCACCTGTTTATTTCAGGTACCTAGTATACAGAAGCATATAATCACTACTTATTGACTGCCTCAACTGGCAAGCAATGCTGAAAACCTAGAAAAGATAGCCCAAACAAGAAAAAATAATTGCAACATCCATTCATTAATTTCTGATTAACAAACAGATATCAGACATATGCCTTGTACAAGGTGTTATGATCAGTGTGGCAGGACTTTCGAAGGGAAACTGACACTAGACAGACCCTGCCCTCAAGAAGTTTACTGCCTAAAGGCATAGATAAAAACAAGTACAGATAAGAAACCCTACAGTGGTTCAGAAGCAAAGGATTTTACTGATGGCGGGACATAGTTAGGGAATTGCTTGTGAAAAAGCTATTTTTTTAAGAAGGCCAAGATAGCTGGGATTTGGAAGTCAGAGATAAGGGAAGTGTATTCAGGCCACTTGAACACTGTGAAAAGAAAGAAGCACAAAGCTGAATGTGTCTGGTAAAGAGTAAGGCAGTCTAATTTTACTAAAATAAAGGATGTAATATGGTAAAAATTAACAGACTGGGTCCCTAGTTGTACTTTTTGCCAAATACTAATCATTTATCTGTATGAAATATGCTTCTAATTTTCCACAGTGTAACAAGCAGTAAATGGCATTTGGATATGCACACTTAAATTCAAATATCATATTTGAGTTTTGTACATGTGCTGTCAAAGCAAGCACTCATATTCCAGTTTTATAACAGAGATTTAGATTAGTGAATATCTGCATATACTGTTTACTTGTATAAGTTAACTATCACTTACAATTTGTTAATGGATAAAGATAGGTTTAATACATACAGCTGAATGATGGTAATATAATTCTCAGAAATTATAATGTTTACTTTTCCCTTAAAAAACTTGCAAAATGTGAAAAAAATATTGAAAAACATGTATACACTCTTAATATACTTTTCCGCACCTGGTAAGCTTGGAGAAAACAGAAAAAAAATTTTAAGAGAAAATTTAAAACCATCTAGAACCTAGACTGTTTATGGCATACCACCTTTCACTCTTCTATGTTGTGTTTTATTTTAAAATGTGGTTTTTCTTTTTGGCTAATTGTTAAAATATAAAAAATACTGAAAAGCACAAGGACAAGATTTAGTTACCAGCCCCATCCTTCCAACAAAAGCAAAAATCATCTGAAAGAAAATTTAGTAAAGCAATTGACTCATATTTAGCTTATAGATAATTAAACTCCCCACATGTTTTCATTTAGATTGCTGCTAGTTTCTGTATCC